TCATTTTAATTATGAACCTTCTGAACTCCTTTTCAGACATTTCATCAACTTTGCTGTTCATGGGTTCTATTACTATAGTATCCTGGTTTGTTTGAGGCACTTTCCTCCCTTATTTTTTCATATTGTCTCTAGGAGTGATCTGTATTGAGGCCCCTCACAAATGTGGTGTTTACATTTTTTGTGTTTCCTTCTCTTTGCTCTTGCTATATAAGTGGGACCTGAAACCCTCACTAGTCATTTCTACTTGAGGTCTGGTTGTTGGTTTGGGGTTTTTCTCTCTCCATTCTTTCTGTTAAAGTATTATAGAAATTTGAAGTGGATTAAATTGTGTGTGGAGCAAGGTTTGTTATTTCTTAGCTGAATTGGGGGTGTAGCTCAGCAGTGTAGTGTCTACCCAGTGACCTTGGAACTTCACACTGGATTTCCAGCACCTCACAGAAATGAGGGAAATAAATAACAAAAGCAGCCTATAATAAGCAGCATTAACATAAATACTAAGTGCTTACTATGATATTTACAACACTAATAATCACAAAAGCAGTAATGGTGGTGTAAGAAATTAACAACAGCAACAATAACAAACATCTATGAATGAGATGTAGCATTAAAGAAAACACCAGGTGTCAACTGTGACATCTACCACACTCATAACTGCAACAACATTAATGAATGTTGGGGGCAAAAATTATATAAACTAAATAGTTTTAAAAGATGGTGAATCACAGTTCATTAAAATAAAATGGGTTAGGAATACAAAAGAGAGTTTAGAATATTCAAAAGGTAAAAAGAGAGATATTGCAAATGAAGGCCAAAGAGAAGGAGGCTTGGCAAGCAACACAAAATGGCTCTCAGCTTTCCTGTTCATCAGGTACAATGGAAAAGGAGGTACAATGGAAAAGGAGGTACTTTCACTTGGAGTTTTGTCTACACAGACTAAATCAGTGCACATTCACAGGGCAGGCCTGATATGAGTTCTAAAAGAGAAGGTCCTATGCTTAGGGTCTAGCTATGATAATAAAAATTTGGTACTTTGTTGGGTATATCTAGTCTGGGGAGATTAGATCAACACACTTCTATGGCTGGAAAGAGGCCAATTCCTACTGGGTGTCTGGATCTTGGAGGCCTCCTCAGAATTCTAATAGAGTAGAGCAGCCAACTATGTTGGGTAGAAGTGGTGTAGCCAGTCTCGTACACTGCACCATCCACAAATATGGCCTTCAAACACTCAGTCCCTGAATCCAATCATGCTTAACAGTTTTCTGATCCTCTTCAACTGGTCACATGAGTCACCAGACTCACAGGGTCAGCAAGTTGTACTCCCAGTCATATCTCTGGCCGGAATCTTCTTGGATCCAATCTTCTCTGTACCTGTTTCAATCGTGTTCTGCCAGGGGTACTGTAGGCCACACAATAGGTGCCAGTTGGGACAGGGAGGCAGTGTTTGCTATGACTTCCTAGGTTCCTATGCAGCAATCTCAAGCATGATTGCCACGTGATGGCTCCCTGCCTCAGGTCTCCACTCGTAAGTTGAGAAACATGACTACTTTTAAAACACCACCTTCCTTTGGAACCTCTGAGCTTAGTTAAGTTCCGATTGCCTTGCTATTCTACATGTGTTCCTGTGCCAACTTGTCCACCATGGTTCTCATTCTTTTCCTCTGTGGAACCTTTTTCCTCTGTAGCACTATTGCTGCCACAGTTGCGCTCTAGTATACTCTTCTTGTCTTCTGTTCTAAACACCGGAATTTATGGGTCTCTCTGAGTCTGTAACTGTCCATTATTGAATTTCAGTAAATTCCCTGCTAAGAAGCAGTATCACCATCTTTCAGTTTTGAACTACAGAGCAACTGGAAGTTGCAGCATTTGTCTCCTATGACATCTTTGTCCCTTTAGTATTTATTTATTTATTTTCTTTCTTTCTTTGTATTGGGGATTGAACCCAAAGGTATTTAAACAGTGAGTCACAACCCCAGGTCTTTATATGTTTTATTTTGAGATAGAGTCTTGCTAAGTTGCTGAGGCTAGCTGCAAACTTGCAATCCTCCTGCCTCAGTCTCCTGAGCCACTGGGATTACAGGCATGTGCCACCATGTCTGGCTTAATTATTATTTCTAAAAAAAAAAAAAAATTCAGCTCCAAAGTGTTTATCCTGTTCTTCTAAGGCTCTGTTGACACAATTGTGAGACCTTTTGTTACTGTCTTTTGTATAGTCACAACATTCTTTTTACTTTGAAATTTTTTTCTCAGTTCAGAGTGTATGATTTTTGTTGATCTGAACTTAAAGAAGTTTACTGATTCTTGCTTTCAAAAATTTTTATCAGATAATTCCAACCCCTGTTTCCTCTTGACTTGGCATATACATTGGCTCTTTACATGTGAATTGAGATTTTCCTGGTGTTTTCTCTTCCCCCTGGGGACACAGTTCCTCCCAGTGGAAAATAAATGTCTCTCCTTCAGAGTTTTGGCTCCTACAGGCTCTCATTGGGAGCCTACTGCAAGGGGGCCAGGAAAGAAAAGAAATCCAGGATTTCTCCACTTTCTTTGAGAATATTTTGTTCCCTTGTTGTCTCCTTTGGCATTCACTGTAGGGATTCTTGTGGAGCTCTATCTGTGGCCCATTGTCACTGGCTGCATTTCCTAGGTCCCAGAGTTATTGAGACCAGTAATGCTCTCCTTCTTCAGGAACAACTGCTTCCATTTTGGCCCCTGAGGATTTCTGCCTTTTTCACATCTCATCTACCCATTTTAAAATACTTTTCGTATATATTATCTAGTACTTAAAGGTACTTATAACAGGAACGTTGTTATGTTTTATATTGAATTTATAGCCTAGCCAAGAAGCAGTAAGTGGCCATTTGCACAGGGGCAGTCTGGCAGCATGGAAAGATCAGGGTGCCGGACCCTTAAGATGTAAGTGGCCGACTTTGTGTTAAGCCATTTGAACTGAGGTGAATTACTAAGGCAAAGCTTTCTAGTTTTATCATCCATAAAATTTTCTTCTTTTGTTTAGCATGTGTGCCTTTCTCTTCTTTCTAATTCTTTGAAATCTCCTTGTTTCTTAATTCTTTTTCTTTGTATTTTCCATCTCTCTTTTTTTCCTTTGGAAGAATTCCTGAGTTGACTCTTTTCTTCTTACAAATTAACCGTTTTAGCTGTGGTTTTTCTGCTATTCAATCCATCAACTGAATTAATTATTATTATTTTTTAATGAGATAGGTGATCTCTTCTAGTTGATGAGCTATATTATATCAACAGCTATTATATTACTTTTGGGAATATTGCCTTTATCTTATAAGGATACTGCCTTTCCTTTTTCAGTATTAATTGTAATGTCAAAACTTGTATTTCTAAGCACTATAAAAATGAACTCTTTTTTAGAAAACCTTTCTGAAGATTCAATTGTACTCCTAATTTTTGTTCAGTTATATTATTAACTGTGTCCTTAAATGCTAGATTCTTCTGTTGTTTATAAAATGTGATTCCTTTGTTTTGTAGCATTAGTTTTCCTAGATGTGTGCTGAATCTTAATAATGAGTTCTGGCATTTTCATATGAGAGATTTTGTTGAAAGCGGTACCTATTAATCTATCATTATTATGGCTATTGCTGGGGGAACATCCAGTGGTACATGGATAGTTGGACAGGCAATCAGTAGCAGTCTTCCTGATCTTCCTGGATGTTATTGGATAGCTGGGAACTGTTCAATCTCTCTATTGGTTTCCTAGAGTTTCCTGAAATTTTTATATTCACAGCACCCCAGCTCAGAGTATTTCCAGACCTACTGCCTCCTTCTGTAGCAGCTCTGACCTATGATGTCTACTTGAATTCTAGTTCTTTCAGCTGCTTGTCTTTCCAAGAAATCATGCATCCTCCTGGGGAGGGATCCTGTTTAGTAGTCCACATCCATTATAAACTTAAAAATAGATATGTACTATTTCTTGTAGGGATTTGGTGTAGGAAGAGATGACTTCACTCATCTTGAGCTACTCTACATGTGACGTTTTTTTCTGTTTTATTTATTTATTTTTTGCCATTATGCTAAAATGTATACATTCAACTGTTGCAATGTTTCTTTTGTTTTGTTTTGTTGGTTCAGGTACTGTCTTGTCTTATTTCACTATGTCTCTATTATTTGACATTGGGCCTAGTTCATGATAGGTACTCAGTAAAGATTTGTTCAATTAATATAATCCTGAAAATGTACAAAACTCAGATTCTTGTGGTCATTGTAAATGGACACAAGCTAATGTATGTTTGAGCACTTTTATTTATAGTGTAAGTAGGATAACTCTATGTTTAAAAATTTGGCCTTCTTGAGTTATACCCTTAGAAGGGGACAAAGTTAGAAGCTGTAGATTTATAGTCCATGGCAGAACTGAGAGGAAGACCTAGCTTCCCTGATTTACTAGCTGTAGGGATCTAAAGAAAATTATTCAAACACACAACTCATGTTACCTTGACATAATGTAACACAAGGCAGTGGGTGTGTTGTGGACATGAACAGTGAGATATGGAAGGAACAAAGCCAGGCCAGACAGGGCCAGGAAACTACTGCCATCTCTTCTCTATTTTGTGCATCATGGCAGGAGAGGGACCAAGTGAGGATCTCAGCCATCTCTGCCCTAAGTTACATGTTACGCCGAATTTTCAAATTGAAGCCTGGGTCCTTTGTTCGCAAAGAGGTCTTCACTTTTCTAGTCCCATTGCTGCTCAGCATTCAGGACAACAATATTGAGGTGGTTAAGGTACCAGTCACCTCTGTTCTGCCAACCCCAAGCCTGACTCATTCCCCTTTTCTGCTATAGCATACCACCTTTGCTCTTCCCTTTGTCTCCTTTGTCATGAGTCCAACTTTGGCTGTCCAGTCCATCCCCACCTCTTGGACCTCACCCTCTGGGCTGGATCTGGGCACTTGGATCTGCTCCAGTCTTCCACTCAGCTCTTGGACCTGGGGAATCATTGTAGTGGGGTTTTGGGGATTCCCTTCTCTCTATCACATAGGCCTGTGGCGGGACCCTGACTGAGTGGACTCACGTGCTTGGCTGGTCATCACTCACAGAGACGTTCCGGCATACCACACTCAGTGATCACATCCAGGTAGTAGGAGAAACTTGCAAATTCCTGGTAAGTGAGAGTCCTTGAGAAAGCTCAGTTAAAATGTTTGTACTGGGGGATGGGGTTGTAGCTCAGTGGTAGAGCACTTGCTGGCATGTGTGAGGCACTGGGTTCGATTCGCAGCACTGCAAATAAATAAAGGCTTATCAACAACTAAACAAATTTTTAAGAAAATGTTCATATTGGCCATGTGTTAGGAGGACAAAACAGGGAAGGCTGACAGAAGGCAGCTTTCTTCTGTTCCTTAGCCCTGTTCTTTTTCACCAATCAATTCTGAGAATCCACATTTAGGATGATAATGTCCTGGTGTCTGTAATTGATCTTCCCAGAATCACAATCTTTTCCTTAGAGGCTGAAAGATCCTGCCAGATTACTGGATTGTGATAGGATAGAGATATTCTGGTTAAAGTGGGTGAAAGAAATGTGGGCAGGATTTTAGGTTGGTAGTCATCATGTTTAGGGTCTGTGGCTCTTAAGAAATCAAGGACAAGCCAGAGATTAGGAATCAGAGTCTACGCAGATTTTGCAGAATTTTGATGTTTATTGCTAAAATGCTCTCTGAAAATAAATAATTAAGGGCTTAGCAATTTGGGTAGTAATGAACAACTGTGTCTTTAGCTCCACATTAGTTCTTTGTCCTTATTCTCTTCTCTTTCATGGAGCAGGTTTCTCTTTATGAACTTTCCGTTGAGTCTGCTGGGGTGGGAGGGGTTGGGATGATGGAGTCTGCAGGTTCCGTGGACAAGGGTGAGCAGGTGCTGCTATGAAGAGATCTGCAGTAATCCCAGACCTGCCCTCTCCTGCTCAGTACCACCCATCTGTGGCTCCACAGGTGGGCCAGCACAAATATCATCAACTTGGGGACTTACTATTCCAGAGCTTTGGCTTCCTGAAGCGACCACAGCCCTTCCTAAGGGCAGCTGCAGTCAATTTCATAGGTAAGGCAGTGGCACCTGGCAACTCCTCTCTCCCCTCTTTGGCAGGGGAGCATCTTCTGCCAAAGGGTTAGGTCAGAACCATGGTGTGACAGAGCAGATGACCTCCTTTCCTAGTCTTGACCTGATTGGATAGGTTGACATGTGATCCAGCCCCAAATTCTGCTTTAGAAAGGTCCAGAGGAAGAAGAGGAGACTATGCTCCTGTACCCCAGCTCTGTGTGGGTTCCACTCCACCATCTGGAGTCAGCCTTGTGGACAAGAGAAGTGTCATTTGAAAGAGGAGAAAAACAATTGCTTCCATTAAGACCCCATGGATTTTCCAAAATATTTTTGCTTCAAACTACAATTAGCTGCATGTGTTTAAGTAAAAAAACGTATGCAATTTATATTGGCAAAAAGATTGATGTAAATAATGCCAAAAATTTCACCATTTGGATTTAGTCACTACTGATTCTAGAGACTATTCCCTAAGAATGTGCTACATATCCATATCCCTTCCCACAACAAATACTTTTAAAAGACAGTTTGTTATATTGTTTTTTCCCTTGCTATATCACAAATGCATAGTATTTATATAGCTTCAACAGTATTTTTATAGTTGTATAATATTAATTCTGTTTCATGGATTTATGGAAAAATTTAATCAGTGCATACTTTTGAATATTGAGACTGTATATTTAAAAATATTTTTAAGCAGGTATGCAGTGGCAAAATCTCTGTGCAAGCCATCATGGATTTAAAGTACAAAATTTAAAGTACAAATACTAGGCCAAAGAGTTTGCAGAATTTTGATGTTTATTGCTAAAATGCTCTCTGAAAAGCTCAAGTAATTTTCAGCAATAGTATACGTGAGTATTCATTTCTACAGACATTTGCCAACCCTGAGTATTATTTTTTAAATCATTAATTTAATAAGTGAAAAAATATTTTAGTGTTATTTATATTTAGAAGAAATACATATATATGTTCTCTTTGCAGAGAAATGGGAGCATTATCAATAAGGGTAAAGTTCCGTATACTCTCTGTTCAGTCTAGTGTTCTTCTCTACTCCTGTGTGTTGTGTTGTTTTTGATTAATTATGTCTTTATTGGCATCCAAGTTAAATTTTTTTCTATGTTGATTGGCAATGCATATTTCATCTTGGCAAATTTGTTGCCTTGTGCCCCTTGTGCGTCTTTCTGTTGGTGTAGGAATCCCATAAAGTTCAACACCTTCATCTAATGCTCTGCTTGTCACCTATGGATGATAACTTTTGGGTCACAGTCCCTCCTGTAACCTAGAATTTTTCTTTTACTAAGACATATCCAGGATGCAAATCTTCTCTTAGAAATATTCTTTACTAAAGATGGTGGAATGAGATGGACATGATTATCCTAGGTACATGAATGACTTCACATATAGTGTGACGCCACATCGTGTACAACTAGAGAAATGAAAAAATGTGCCTCATTTGTGTACAATGAATCAAAATGCATTCTGCTGTCATGTATAACTAATTAGAACAAATAATAAAAAACGAAATATTCTTTGCTACCACTGGTTGTAAATATCCTTTTTTTTTTTTTTCCCACCACTGATCCTGGGAAAAAAGTCAGTCCAAAGGCCCAGGAATTATAGAAAGATTTTTCTATCTGTTCTGCCTTTAGGATTAACAACCAAGAGCATACACATGAATTGCATACATGATGATGATGTACAGCTGATACGGCATGGTGAGTCTGGACCTTGTACCTGGGTTCTGAGTTCCACTAGGGGTGGGGTAAGATCCAGTGCAGGATGGAGGACATGTCTTAAGGACATGTATCATTCTTTTGAAATCTATCTTTATCATCTAAGTGTAATATAAAATAGTACAGAATGGAGAAAATGGAAGAGAGAAACAAATTATTTGCTGTTTTCCTAGTAAGATAGAAACAATGCTCATATTTTGGTGATATATCCTTGCAGTCATTGAACATTATGTGGTGTAGGTGCTTTCACTGCAGTAGTGTTGAAGACAAGATTGTCCCTGCCCTTAAAGAACTTGCAGTGTTTTTTCTTTTATATGGCATTAAAATATTTTAGTGTTATTTATATTTAGAAGAAACATATGAATATATTCTCTTTGCAGAGAAATGGAAGCATTATCAATAAGGGTAAAGTTCCATGTACTCTGTGTCCAATCTAGTCTTCTCTCCTCTTGTGTGCTGTGTTGTCTTGTATTATTTTTCTGTGTAATAGATACACACGTGTGTGTGTGTGTGTGTGTATTCATACATCATATATATACATATACATGGATTATTGTATATATACACACACACATATATATACATACAACTTGTATACATATGTATATATACAGTATATATAACATATATTGTGTTAGTCAGCTTTATGTAACTATAATAAATATGTGACAAAAATCAAGTTAATAAGGGGGAAAGTTTATTTGGCTCATGGTTTTGAAGTTTTGAGTTCATGACTGATTATCTCCATTGCTTTAGACCTATGGCCTTAGATCTATGGCCAGATAGCAGATCAAGGTGGGGAGCACATACTAGAGAAACTATTCACTTCATGGTCACCAGGAATCAAAGAGAGAGAAAGAGGAAGAGGCTGTGGTTATACAACCCCCTTGGAGGGCACATTCAATGTCCTAAGACTAGTCCCCTCTTTCCTCCTATAGGTTGCACCTCCTCCCAATAGTTCTATGTTAGGGAAGCAAAGAGAGCTAGAAAAGGGTTGGGGTCCCAATACCCACTTCTAAGGTACACCTTCCTTCTACTGGGTCCACTTCCTAAAAGGTTCCACCACTTCCCAATAGCTCTGCAGGTGGAAGGCCCACCCTCCAATACATGGGCCTTTTGGGGACATTTAATACCCAAATTATAGAATCTAATTTCTATGCTTTAGTTAGCAAATATTTTTGTTCTATTTTTAACCCAGAATTTAGATACTATGATTGTTATTATTATTTTGCACGAACTGTTTTAGGTATTCTTCACCATTCCTTTTTGTTTCTCTGACCATCTTTTAGGGAACATTTTTATTTATCCTGGAGTATATCTTGTAGAAATTTCTTTTTTTAAAAAAAATTTTAGTTGTAGATGGACCTTTATTTTATTTATTTATTTTTATATGGTGCTGAAGATTGAACTCAGTGCCTCACACATGCTAGACAAGTACTCTACCACTGAGCTACAGCCCCAGCCCCAAGAAATTTCTGGGATGCTAATATTTAATATTCAGACTCTTGGTAGATGTTTTTTTTAATGTAAGGATTCTCAAAGGAATAAGACAATTTGACACAATTCTAGATCAACAATTACTTTCTCTCAACACTTTGGAGATATTATACTAGTGTTTTCTGGCTTGCTTTGTTATGTTTGAGAAGCCTGAGGCCATTCTAATTTTTGTTCTTTGTAGCTTATCTTTACATTGACAGAAATACAGAGAATATTATCATCAACTCCCTGTACCTGTACCCCAGATACAGCAGGTATCAACTCGTGGTCAACCTTGTTTTTTTTTTTTTTAATTTTTTTCCCACCTATACCCTGTCCCTGGCAGGGTTATTTTGAATTAAATCCAAGACTTCATATTATCCCATCTATAAATAGTACATGTTTCTAAATGATTGTTTTAAAAAACAAAACATGAAAAAAAGTATAATGGAGTAGAATACAAACTATCCAAGAATTGGGAACTGGTTTGAGGCATTTCATCCAAACCTCTGAGGCTACCAGTTTATTTTCTAATGTCTCTATAGTTAGAAACACTTCAGAGAAGCATTTACTAGCCTTAATTTACAACTCTCCTAAATGCAGATCTGAATCATTTCTCCCAGGGCACAGAAGTTAATTACTGAAAAAACCAGTATGAGTTTTGAGGAACTGGCTTATTTTTGGGGATTAACTTAGCATAACAGTCTCTAGTTCCATCCATTTACTGGCAAATGCCATAATACATTCTTCTTTATGGCTGAGTAATATTCCATTGTGTTTATATATTACATTTTCTTTATCCATTAATCTATTGAAGGGCACCTAGGTTGGTTTGATAGCTTGGCTATTGTGAATTGACCCCATGAACATTTATGTGGCTGTGTCACTATAGTATGCTGATTTTAAGTCCTTTGGGTATATGCTGAGGAGTGGGAAAACTGGATAAAATTGTGGTTCCATTCCAAGTTTTCTGAGGAAACTCTATATTGCGTTCCAGAGTGATTGCACCAATTTGCATCCCACCAGCAATGTATGAATGTGCCTTTTCTCCTAAATCCTTGCCAACATTTAATGTTACTTGGATTTTTTATAATTTTTTCTCCTAAATCCTTGCCAACATTTAATGTTACTTGGATTTTTTATAATTGCCATTTTGACTGGAGTGAGATGGAATCATGGTGTGCATAGTTCTAATTTGCTTTTCTCTAATTGTGTGAAGTTGAACATTTTTTAATATATTTATTGACTATTCATATTTCTTCTTCTGTGAAGTATCTGTTCGGTTCCTTTGCCTATTTATTCATTGGGTTATTTGTTTTTTTGGTATTATTATTTTTTTTTTGAGTTTTTTTATATATATCCTGGAGATTAAAGCTCTACCTGAGGTGCAGGTGGCAAAGATTTGTCCCATTCTCTCTTCATGTTATTGATTGTTTTATTTGTTGTGAAGAAGCTTTTTAGTTTGATTCCATGTCATTTATTGATTATTTATTTTACTTCTTGTGCTTTAGGAGTCTTGTTGAGGAATTCAGTTCCTAAGCTGACATGATGGAGACTTGAGCCTACTTTTCCTTCTAGTAGGTGTAGAGTCTCTGGTCTAATGCACAGGTCCTTGTGCAAGGGTGACAGGGGACTAATTGGATTTTGTTACATATGGGTTTCCAGTTTCCCCAGCACTACTTGTTGAAGAGACTATCTTTTCTCCGATGTATGTTTATGGCACCTTTGTTTATTATGAGGTAACTGTATTTATGTGGGTTTGTCTTCTATTCTATTGGTCTTCATGTTTGTTTTGGTGTCAGAACCATGCTATTTTTTATTACTATAGCTCTGTAGTATTAATTTAAGGTCTGGTATTGTAATGCTTCCTATTTCACTTTTCTTGCTAAAGATTTCTTTGGCTATTCTGGGCTTCTTATTTTTCCATATGAATTTCATAACTTTTTAATGTCATCAGAACCTTGAATAGGAGTTGAATTAAATCTGTAGAGAGATTTTGGCCAGGGTGGGAAATCTGTCTTTCTTGTTTACTACTGTATGCACCGCACCTAGCAGTGCCTGGTGATAGGAAGAACTCAATAATAGTTGACAAATGAATTAATGATTCTTATGTATAGCAGTGAAAAATTAGAGACAGTTTAATTATCCAGTAATGAGGGTTCATAAAAATGACAATCCTGTGATTTGATCTTATACTGTAAACAGGTAAATCTTATGGGAAGAAAAAATGTTATTTTTTGTAAAGTTCTATCTTTAATATAAAAAAAAGCCCTGCAAGGATAGGTACCAAAATATTAGCAGTATTTTTTCACAGGGTTCTTGATTCCTCTTCCTTCTCCCCACATTTTTTTTAAATGGGGTCTTGTTATGTTGCCCAGGCTGACCAGGAACTCCTGGGCTTAAGCAATCCTTCTGCCTCAATCTGATAAATAGCTGAGGCAACAGGAACTCAGTATTCTATCCAGCTATCCTTTCCATTTTTAAAAAACATTCTTTAGTATGTTTTCTATAATGAAACCAGCATTACTTTTTTACAATCCAAGAATGATTCTAAGTGGAGTTGCACGATAATGGCCTATCATTTGGGTAGGCCCTGAGTGGGGCTAGGTAGACAATCTTCAGGGATCCAGAGTCTGAGTTGACCTCCTTCTGGTTTCAGCTCTTGAATGTGTGAAGAATGATCCCAGAGATGCTATCAAGGTGATAGCCAATGCTATCCTGAAAAAAATAGATGAAGATGTGAAGATCCAGGGTTCCTATGCTTCCAGGCTGAGCCAAATCAGCAGTAACTTCCTCAGAGGTTTTGGCATCAAAACCAGAAAGAGAAAGAAGCACCTGTTTAGGACTGTCAAACGGGAAATAGATATTGATGAGAATCATTAAAACAAAATCTCAAGTTGGTTCCAAGTTTCTGAATTCCTTCTCAAACAGCAATTCAGATGGAAGGTCAGCAGAGATTTTAGTACCAATGTCTAAACATCCAATTAAACAAGTTGAGCCTATCTAAAATGCAGCTGCATAGGAATCACTGAGAATATTTAAAGCTGGGAACCAATACTTTTTCCATTTGTTTGTGGACATATCAGTGCTTTTGTCCAATGGGTTGTGCCATTTTGACCATGGAAGATACATTATGCTTCTTGTCCTTTATCTTCCTAGGGAATTGTTGGTTATGGGCAGATACATTTGTCAGGCAAACATTTTCTCATCCCAAGGCTAGCTGGCTTTCTTCCAAATTCCTGGGATCCAAAGGCAAGCATGAGTGACTAGAACAACTTTGGAAAGTATGTCCTTCACCATTTGGGAAATGTTACCCATGAAAAAAGACACAGGGTAGCAAACATCATGAAACAGTTTTCAATTTTTTCCTGTACATCCACATACTAGATGTAAATCCCATGTTAGCTTTTTATGGTTGTGACCAAAATATCTTACAAGAACACCTTGAAAGTTTATTTGGGCTCACAGTTTCAGAGGTTCAGTTCATTCAGGTCAGCCAACCTGAATGCTCTGGGCCTGAGTTGAAGCAGAACATCTTAGTATAAGGTGTGGAGGAAGAAAGCTCAGCCCAAGGCTGCAAGGAATTGGAGAGAGAGACAAAATATAGAATCCCCAATACATGCACCCTGTTTAGTTAACTTTTTTATTGCTGTGACCTGACAAGAAAAATTAGAGGTGAAAAAATTTATTTTGGCTCATGATGTCAGAGGTCTCAGTCCATAGATGGCTGACTCCATAACTCTAGGCCTAAGGTAAGGCAAAAGTCATGGCAGAAGGGCATAGTAGAGGAGAAGAACATAGGATATAGCCAGCAGAGAGTTGTGCTCACCAGGGACAAAATATTAACCCAAAAGTTATGCCTATCTCCTCTAGCCACACCCTACCTGCCTATAGTTACTACCTAGTTAATCCTTATCAGTGGATCAATATAGTGATTAAAGCTCTCATAATCAAACCATCTAAGGTAAACATCCCTATATTTAGAGTTAAAAAAAACATTTTAAATTTGTTTTAATTAGTTTACATGACAGTAGAATACATTCATGCACTTTGATATATCATACATCAATGGGACATAATTTCTCATTTTTCTGAGTGTACATGTGAACACCTAATATCCAAACCATAACATTCCACCCTGAACCCCAAGTTTTCATGCACATCTCACAATTCAAAATATATTTAGTCCATTTCCAAGAGTCCCCAGAATTGCCCAAAAGTTCAAGTCTAAAATCTCTTCTGAGATTGAAGGCAAACTTTCATCTCTTTTCCCCTGTAAAGTTAAATTTATCCAATGTATAATGGCACAGAGTAAACATTTCTATTCCATAAGGGATAAATAGAGACATAGAAAGAAGGATGGGATTGGGGCTGGGGTTGTGGCTCAGCGGTAGAGCGCTTGCCTAATGTGTGAGGCACTGGGTTTGATTCTCAGCACCACATTAAAAAAAACTGAACAAACAAAATAAAGGTATTGTGTCCATTTACAACTAAAAAAATTAAAAAAAAGAAAAAGGATGAGATCAAAGCAAGACAAAAATCCAGCTGGGCAAATAAGTCGTGTAACTGTTTCCAGCATCTGGGGAACATGGAATCATGATGTTCTCTCCAAAGGGCTTGTGTATCTCTGTTTCTGTGGTCTTTCTGGTTGCATCTCACATGGCCTCTCTCTTGGCTTAGCTCTGCTCAATTCCTGCAACAGACATTACACTGTACTGCCATTTGTAATTGGGGTGGGGGTTTCCACTGCAGCCTTCACTTTCTTCTCACTTCTTCATGCATCACCCTGTCAGAGACAGCCCCATAGTGACTCTGATCCTGTTACACTTTGCCTGGTCTCCCAGGCCTCCCTTTGAAATTTCAGTGAAAACTCCCTAATTCTAACATCCTTCATTCCTTCAGAACCAGCTCCATGTTGTTGCCACCAAGGTCTGCCATTATCTGGAGCAATATTCAAGCCTCCTAGTACTTGTCTATAGCACCCTCCAAGTACCTGAGTGCCTGTACATGGTTAAATAACATTCTAGACCCTCCTTGCCCCATGCAAGCAGGGTGTTCCCATGGTCTCTTCTTAAGGAATTTTTATTTTTACACTCTTGAGCCTGAGATAGGTGTGGTCTTGCCAGTCCATTGCCATCTGTCCCATTGTTTCTGGATAGAAAGTATTTTTTTTTTGTCCCAAGGATTGAACCAAGGGATGCTAAACCACTGAGCCATATCCCCAACTCTTCTTAGTTTTTTATTTTAAGACAGGGTCTCACTAAATTGCTTAGGATCTTGCTAAGTTGCTGATGCTTTGAGCTTGTGCTCCTCCTGCCTCAGCCTCTCAAACCACTGGGATTACAGCCTTTCGCCACTGTGCTGGGATAGTTAGTATTTCTTTAGTGGCTATAACATCTACAACAACCACATCTTTACTCTGATGTACTTGCTCTTTTATGACTAAACTGCAAGCTTTCCAAATCTTTATTTTCTGCTTTCTGCTCCTGATTATCACAGTAAATTTGGTTAGTAGCTTCTAGCAATACACATGCCACTGCCTGAATGCTGTACTGCCTTAAAATTACCTCTACCAGATTAATTAATTAGTACATCACCTTTAAAACTAACCTCACAAAAAGTCTCAGGACATGGACTAAATGTACACATTTCTTTGTCAGAGGATAACATGAATGACCTCTAGTCCAAAGTCAAATAGAGTCTTCCTTTCCCTCTGAAACCTCATGAGCCCAGTCTTTACTGTCCACAGTCCTATCAGCATTCTGGTCTTTTGAACTCCCACTAGAGTCACCCATTAAACTCTGCTTTCAACAATTTAAATCTTTTCTAACCTTAATCTCTAAAATTCTCAAGATTCTTCCCACAGACTCCAAAAAAGTCCAAAAGCTTCTGAACCACATGGTTAGGTTAGTCGCTTTCAGTTTTAGTTAGTTTTTTTGGTCACTGTGACTAAAATACCTGGCAAGAAAAATTATAGGTGGAAAAGTTTATTTGGGCTCATATTTGGGGTTTACCTAAGCTGTTTTCTTCCACCATGAAAGAAGAAATGTGGTGGTGGAAGAAAGCAGCTTAGGTAAACCCCAAAGGCACATCTATAGATCTCCTCTAGTCATCCCCAACCTATTATCATTTAGTTATTTCATATCAGAATTAATCCAGTGATTAGGTTAAAGCTCTCATACTCTAACCATTTCATCTGAATGTCCCTGCACTGTCTCACACATGAGCTTTTGTGGGACATCTTATATGCAAACTATAAAAGTTTGAGTGATTTCACTTCCTCCAGCCATGCTTTCATATACCAGCAATCCATTCAAATTATTAATTCATTTGATGAATTAATCTATTTATTAGGAGATATTGGGAGAAACCTCATATCTAAACCATGACATTTTGCCCCAATCCCAAAATCTCAAGTCCATTTCACAATACAAAATGCATTTACTCAATCTCCCAAGTATCCCCATAGTCTTTAACAGTGTCATCATTCCTCAGAAATCCAAGCACAAAAGCTCATTTGAGGCTTAAGGCACACTCTTTACTGTAAGTTCCTATAAAGATTAAAAGCAAGTGACCTATAGCCAATATATAGGAGCACAAAGTAAACATGCCTAAAAATACAGGAATAGGGGTATAGAATGAGAGATGGAACCATAACAAGAGTGAAATCCAGCTGGGCAAACAGGCCTTATAGTTCCACAACCAGCATCCAAGGCAAATGCTGGTGAGATGTGATCACCAAAGAATTTGGGCAGCTCCACCCTGATGACCTTGCCAGTTACAGTCCACATGATTTCTCTTTTAGGCTGGCTCTACCCAGAGCTGGCAGTTTTTCTTGGCAAACATTCCCATAACTGGCATAATTTCTGACACCTTTTCTGACAACTTTTGATCCCGGGGTCTCTTTTGCAGCTTCACACATTGTACTCTCAGGGGCTGCCCACAGGGATCCCAACTCTCATACACTGTCTGGCATCTAGGCCTTCTAAATTGAGGTGGAAGCCACAATGATCCCTTAAGTTCAGCATCTTTACTGCAGAACCAAAACTACATGGACAATGCCAAGGTCTTTTGCTAGCTTGAGCAAAAGCCAGGACTTCTTAGACAATGGCTGCAGCAACATCTGAGCATAGAAAGAACAGATGGGACCAAAACAGGACCAAATTTCCCATAGAGTCTTCCTTTCCCTCTGAAACCTCATGAGCCCAGTCTTTACTATCCACAGTCCTATCAGCATTCTGGATTTTTGAATTCCCACTAGAGTTACCCATTGCGCTCCACTTACAATAATCTAAATCTTTTCTAGCCTTCATCTCTAAAATTCTCAAAATTTCTCCTACAGACTCCAAAAAACTCCAAAAGCTTCTGAACCATATGATCAAGTTATTCACTTTTCAGTACCAATTCTCCTGGCTAGGCAAGCAGGTCCTATAACTTGGCATACAGCATATAGGCTATATTGAGGTGAGATAGTATTTCCAAAGAGCTGGGGGAACACTGCCTCTTTTGCTTTGCTAGTTAACAGTGTGCATGGGCTCTTTTTTAGCTTGGTCATATCTGTAGACAGCAGTTTTTTTCAGCTGACAGTCCATCTTGGTTTCAGCTTCACACATCACCCTCTTAGGGCAGCCTGCAAGGACTTTGACTCTGGTAATTTTGTATGGCCTCCCAGAACTTCATTTGAAATTGAGTTGGAAGCCTCCATGACCCTCCAACTCTAGCATTCTGAATTTATGCAGAATCAGCACTACATGGATGATGCCAAGATCTTCTGCTAGCTTGTGCTTTAGCTGAACCCTCTGGATTCATGGTTTCCATGGCATCTGAGTGTTTAGGCAGCTGAGTATGATGAAACAACTTCTAGGCCACCCTCCACAAGCAGG